TTCAACGTAAAAAAATATCCAATTTGCTCGCGGAATCGTTTCCAGCTTGTGCAAATTTTCGTCGCGTAACTGATTCAGCCAACCAAAATCTCCTGCTCATTCTCCTATCAAAATAGTTTGCGGAAAACGCTGAATTTTCTACCGTAATCCTTTAGGGCTAACAATCTTAATCGTTTAGGCTTCATCAAAAACCAGCTTCATCTTAATAGCGTAATCGATCCTAACACACCCAGTCTGGGAAAGATAGGGGATAGCGACCATTGGGACCAGCGCCCGGAGGGATAAGACTGGAGTTTAGACCAGCGCCGCGGGCACGCGATTTTGCAAGAAAATATAGTTTTGGGATAATTTTGCAGGATTTTTCTGTTGTCGAAAATTATCGATGGTATCTGTGTATGCTGTGATTTCCGTCTCAGATGTCCTACGCAGGTTAAAAATTTTTGACGCCAGCTGACTCGGAGCGAACCGATAAAAATAAATCATCAAAGAAAAATTGCAGGCGACAATTAACGCGAAGGAAACTGAAAGAAGCCGAAGAAGAAGCTGATGAAGTCTCTAAAATGCATTCCTTTCTTATCCTCTCAAGATCATCCGTATGCTCTTACCTATCTCTGACCTTTAAAGCTTCCTTGATGTGTATAGTACTGTAAAGTTGTAAAAACCCCGAATTTGTTATCCAAAGAGACCTCAAAGAGAACTGAAAACATTGCCGGAGATCATTTTGAAACCAGAATTGAGCCTTTAACGAAAAACTTATTTTTATCATATCACCTAAAAAATTGTTCCATCAAAAATTCAAATTTTGATTCCAATGACCGATTTACTTCAAACTTGGCCTAATGGTAGATCTGGGTCTACTAATCACTAGGAAAAAATATCAGATTTTTTGTACCCGGTTAAGACCGGTTTTCGGGACCAGCGCCAAATCGACCAATCAGCCGACCAATCAAGGTTTTTCCCGTTTTTGGTCCCCTGAAATATCAGCTAGATTGGTTTTAATTGGAATGGAGGTAGCCTAAGGGATGGGTTACCGTATGCCAAAAAGAATATTTAGATTGCTTGCGTCTGCTTCGAGCCTGGGACCAGCGACTGTCACTTTTTTTGGATTTTGAAAATCGGCCAAATGCGGAGTTTTCCTCTTAACAGGGGGGAGTAATTTTTTAAAAATTTTTCCTTGAGGCCGATGATAGAGTACGATGTGCTCTTTCGAATGATGTATCGTACGTCCGGATCCGGCTCCTCTACGCGGAGCATGGGACCAGCGACTCCATTGGTCGAGCCGATTTTGCTCCTTTTATATGGGATTTGGGGCCATTAGTAGGCTATCTCTGCCGAATCGGAAGCGATTGACTTCAAATGTTGACTGATGGTGAGGAACGTCATCAGCAAGCTGGAATAAATCTGGCGACTCGATTCGGTGCATTTGAAGACGACTTTGGGACCAGCGACCGATGTTGCATGGACAAAATCGGCTCGACCAATGGAGTCGCTGGTCCCATGTTCCGCGTAGAGGAGCCGGATCCGGACGTACGATACATCATTCGAAAGAGCACATCGTACTCTATCATCGGCCTCAAGGAAAATTTTTAAAAATTACTCCCCCCTGTTAAGAGGAAAACTCCGCATTTGGCCGATTTTCAAAATCCAAAAAAAGTGACAGTCGCTGGTCCCAGGCTCGAAGCAGACGCAAGCAATCTAAATATTCTTTTTGGCATACGGTAACCCATCCCTTAGGCTACCTCCATTCCAATTAAAACCAATCTAGCTGATATTTCAGGGGACCAAAAACGGGAAAAACCTTGATTGGTCGGCTGATTGGTCGATTTGGCGCTGGTCCCGAAAACCGGTCTTAACCGGGTACAAAAAATCTGATATTTTTTCCTAGTGATTAGTAGACCCAGATCTACCATTAGGCCAAGTTTGAAGTAAATCGGTCATTGGAATCAAAATTCCAATTTTTGATGGAACAATTTTTAGGTGATATGATAAAAAAAATAAGTTTTTCGTTAAAGGCTCAATTCTGGTTTCAAAATGATCTCCGGCAATGTTTTCAGTTCTCTTTGAGGTCTCTTTGGATAACAAATTCGGGGTTTTTACAACTTTACAGTACTATACACATCAAGGAAGCTTTAAGTCAGAGATAGGTAAGAGCATAGGATGATCTTGAGAGGATAAGAAAGGAATGCATTTTAGAGACTTCATCAGCTTCTTCTTCGGCTTCTTTCAGTTTCCTTCGCGTTAATTGTCGCCTGCAATTTTTCTTTGATGATTTATTTTTATCGGTTCGCTCCGAGTCAGCCGGCGTCAAAAAATTTTTAACCTACGTAGGACACTGAGACGAAACTGCGGACTTCTGCAAAAAAGCTTTTAGATAATCAACGGCGCAGAAGCGCCGAAAAAATTTTTGCTAATACTAGCCCTTAGACCAGCGCCCGGACCCCTTTTTGGGACCAGCGCCCACCCGGTTTCGACCAATGGGGCCCCAGACTGAACACACCTGCATCTGCTGCTCTCCCTCCTCCATAGGTTCCTCCTTGACTTCGACCTTGATATCCCGAGCACCAGCCGTCCTTGTTGGCTGTTGTTTCAATCGTCTGGCCTTCTCGAGCATCGACTGCAGCTCATCCTCCGCATCATCGTCGATCAGCACGTCATCCAGGTTGATCCCGGGGATTATGTCGTCTGAAAAAAAGAGATTCTGGGGGAACCGAGCACAGATTTTTGGGGGATTTTGAGGAAGAGGAGGAGGAGGAGGAGGAGCAGCGTTTTTCGGCAAAGATTAGCGAGCCGAGATGCTTTAAGGAAAGGCCGAAGTAACAAGCCGAGATTCTTAGGGAATTTAAGTAACAGCAACGAGCAGAGATTTTTAGGGCAATTTAAATCAGCAGGCAAGCAGCAAGACTGAAAAAAATAGAATTAATTAAATTAGGGAAATGCTGGATAGCTAGCAGAGATGCTTTTCGGAACGATCAAGGCCGAGACCCCCTAGAGAACGCCAGGCAAACGAGCAGATTCTGCGGGGAATGCAGGGCTTTGAAGAAAAATGTGCATTGAGGTAACGAGCAGAGTTCCCTAGAGAATTCGCGACAACGAGCAACAACTTTTTGAGAAAAATGACGCCGGGTAACGAGCATAGATTCCTAGATTCCAGGCAACGAGCAGAGATTTTTTTTGGGAAAAATGACCAACGCGCAGCTTTCCCCGAGAATTCCAGGCAACGAGCAGAGAATCTTTGCGGAATATCCTCCAAAAACGTACCATCACTCTCATCATCCTCCTCAGCCATTTCCCTCTCGACAATCCTCTTCAGGGCATCAATATCGACTTGTTGTTGCTGTGTCCCTCTTCCATTTCCCCGTTGCTCCGTCTGGCATCTCTGTCTCGATCTCTCCATCCTCTCCATCTCTCGCCTCTCGCTTTGGCTCCTTCTTGACGACAGAAGTGTCCATCTGCTCCTCGTCGTCACTGCCATGACGGCGGCGGGACCTGAAAATGAGAATTAAAAAATCTAGGCATTAAAATAGATTAAAAAAATTATAAAATTCACTACATTTCAAAATACAATTTTATTACTACGAGTCATTTATAAAATATCTAAATAAATGCATACCTGCTGCCGCGATCAGCGCCTCCAGCAGGTTCAACAGGGACGAGATCATCAGCCTTCAGCATGCCGCCCTTCTCTTTGCCTCCTCTCTTTCGCAGCTTCTTTTCCTTCTTCTCCTTCTTCACTTTCCGGAAAAGAGATCATCTCCTCTTGGGTGTAGAATTCGGATGCGCGGGTGAACTTGTTGCTGTCGTCGAGGTTGACGAGAATCTTGCCGGCCATCAGGAGACGTTGGCGCATCTCGCGTTCTTCCTTCTCTTTCTCGATGTCCACCTGAAATTGTGGGTTTAATTTAGCAAGACAATACTGCTAGCTTGCCCTAATTTCCTAAAAAAATAGCTGTTAGTCTGCACTTGCAAATTCCACAAGGATTTCTGCTTGTATGCTTTTCAACTTCCTAAATTTTCTCTGCTAGCTACCCCCACAAATTCCCAAAATTTCTCTGCTAGCTGTCTCCCAATTCCCTAATTTTCCCTGCAAGCTCGAATTTCCAAAAATTCCACAAAAGCTTTGCAAACAGGCCCTAGAATTTGCCAATTTTCCCTGCTAAACCGCCTTCTTCAATTTCCGCAATTTCCGCTGCTGGCCTGCCTCCAAGTTCCTCAATAACCTCCGCTAGCTCACTCTTTCCCCTTACCCACCTCTCCCCCCCTATCATCCAATCGAAACGTCGTCCTCTCCGGCCCGTCCATTTCGTCATATTTCGACAGCATGCCCTCTTTTGGCTAAAAACAAATAAAATTCTTAATTTGCAAATATTTGCCTACATTTCCGAACTCGTCCAAGTCGTCTCCATACTCTCTGGCGCCTCGCTTCTTCTTCAGGTCGACATTCCGCGTCGTGCGCTCCTTGTCGACAATGTTCGGGTTGACGAGCACCTCCTCGCCGTCGTCGAGAACGCCTAAAAAAGTAGGTAAATAAAAAAAAAGAAAATGCCTGATTTTCAATTTTTCTGGAACGTAAAAGCTTTTCAGACATCATGAAAATGCTTTTACTCTATAAATTTTCGATTTTCCGTTTCCAAATGAGCAAATATCTAGCTTTAAAAACTTCGAGAAAACGAATTTAGTTTTTTTATTCTGTTTTATTGATTCGATTAGCTATTTTTCATTGTTAAACGTACCCTTGTCCTCGAGGACGAGAATCTGCTCCTGGCCGGAGAGGAATTCGTCTTTGCTGTGGCCGATGGTCAGGCCGCCCGTCATCGCGTTGCTCGCTGGCTTCTGGAAAAAAGGAGGCAATAAAAGTACGCTAAATTTAGAGAAATAGATAAATTAAAACTTTAAAAAGCAAAAAATCTAATTTCAAACTCGAAATTCAAGCTCGGATATTTTGTAAAACAAGCATTTTTATCGATTCGGCATTTTTATGTGCCTAAACCATGTCGGAAAGGTTACAAAATTATGGAAAAAGGATTGAAAAAGCTTTGAGAATCAAAAATTGACTTTTAAAAAAGCCAAAAAATCTCAGATTTTTCATCATAAATTTGGGATTTTCAGAATAAAGAGTTCTTAGCTTTTCAAACGCAATTTCTCACCTTCTTGCCCGTCTTCTTTTTCTTGCTCTGGCCCTCGATAGCGCCGGAATCGGCGAGCTCCTCGTCCAGCGCGTCGAGCGCCTTCGCCCTCTCTTCCGCCTTCTTTTTCTCTTCATCAAGCTGTCGCTGTTTTGTCACCTGAATCGATTCATTGAAATGATTGTGGCCATATAAAACAAATTTAAATTCATTTATTAACTTCTTTAATAAGCTTGAAATGCCTTACCCATCCCGAAGCCTCGTCATCCGAGCTATCATCAGCGAGCCCTCTTGATTTGAGCACTTTTGAGTAGACCTCTCGCTTCTTCTTCGCCACCTCGATTTTCTCCTTGATGGCGTCGTCGCGCTTCTTGTCTCCCCAGTTGTCTGCCTGAAAAAGAAATTCTTGAATGCTCCCCGCCAGCTTTTTTCAAAGAAGCTCTGCTAGTTATCCCTAACATCCTCCATAGCCTCCGCTAGATTCCTTATGATTTCCTTTTCCTGTCCTCCGGAATTTCCGCAGGGAGCTCTGCTAGCTTGCCTAGGAATTCCTGGAAATCTCTGCAGGTTGTCCTCCTGAATTTCCTCCAGGATCTCTGCTAGTTTTCCTCAAAACTTCGCAATTTCCTGCGCCATCTCTGCTAGTTTGCCTAAGAATGTCTTAATTTTCTCGACTAGGGCCTCCTTGGTCCCAAGTTCCTCAAGAATCTCTGCCAGCTCTCCCCTGCTCACCTTTCGATGCCTGAACTCGAATCCCTCTTCGTTGATAATCTTGTCGGTGAGCTCGCCATCTTCTGCGTCTCTCACTTTCGGTCCTGTGTCCTCTTCAAGCGGGGCGAGGCCGAGCTGGGCGCGCAGCTTGTTCGTCTCCTGGATCGACAGCGAGAAGTCACTAGAAAAATCGACTGTATTTAAATTAATAAGCTTTAAAAACTACAGTAAATGTTCTACAAAATTCAACCAGTTTTGAAAGGATAACTACTTTTTTATTCAAATACGTCAATAAAATAGCTTGTATACATATAAACTAATTAATTACAAGGCAAGGTATGTATTAATAAACTTACGCTCCTCCGCCGCCTTCCTTCTCCACACGCTCCACTTTTTCGGGCGATTTTGACTTGCGCCTAAAAATCAAGAAAATGACAATTTTAAGCCAATTTTTTTACCGCTTATCCCTCGGTTCGACTGGAGATTTGGAGCGGCGGCCGTGGCCTTCATCTATAACGAAAACGCTATCAAAAAAGTCTGAAACAAATTTACCTTCCGAAGAGCTGTCGTGCTTTCTGCGCTTCTTGTCCTCGCGGGCCATCGTTTGAGCCTGAAAAACGGTAATTAATGAGACTATACCGAGTCTAGAAAGCCCGGAAAAGGCTTCGAGTATGGAAAACACGATAGAAATACATATAAAATCGTTTCTTAACGATTTAGGAATTTTTTAGGTAGGTTTCGAAAGTTTGCTGCCATTTTTTAGTCAGAAAAAGATCATGGAAGCGCTAAAAACTCCGCTAACTCAACAATACAGCGTATTAAAGTTTTCTACGCGTCAAAAAGGTATTATTAAACTTAATTATAACATTGAACCTCTCGAAAACCATCGTTATTTTTTGATCGAGGCGAATTCCGAAATGTAAGGCATGTCGTACAGAGCGCAAAGAGATGGTGTAGAGTGTAGCGCGCCGGAGCCGGCCCCCAGATCGCGCGTTGAAAGTTTACATCCGGGCTGGTACCCAGATCAAAATTACACGCCTGGGCTGGTACCCAGATCAAAATTACACGCCTGAAATTTTACCACACGTGTAAATTTTTTACACACGCGTGTAAAAAAAATACACGCGTGTCTTTTTTTTTACACGCGTGTAAATTCCGAAATTTTCCTTAACAAATTTGTTAACAAATGAAAATACACGCGTGTAAAATTCGACAATTTTTTACACACGTGTAAATTTTATTTACACGCGTGGTAAAAAAAAGTGACGTGCTCGGAGACGGAGGAAAAAACCGAAAAAATTACACGCGAGCGCCAGAAATTTACACGCCAACTTTGGAAGCCTCCAGCAAATCGGAAAAATATTTTTTTGGAAAAGTTAAAATGAGACAAGCTGCAGACGGGTACCAACAGTGAGTCAAAAAAAAGTTGGATCGCTAAGTGCCCTGGAAATTTTTTTATATGCCGTTTTGTGAAGGCCCTTTTTTGAGCGATTTACACACGTTTTCCAAATGTAATTTTCTTACCTAAAAATTTACACGCGTGTAAAATTTTTGAAATTCACGTGTAAAATAATTGCTGAATTTTGAACTTTTGAAATTCCCGCCTTCGAATCCGATTTACACGCGTGTAAAAAATTTACACGTGTGTAAATTTTCGGCCATGTTTCCTTGAAACCCCTAATAAAACTCAATTACACGCGTGTAAATCCCAAAAGTGACGTGTAAATTTGACGTGTAATTTTTTTATCACGCGTGTAAATTTTTGGCTGTTTTTACACGTGTAATTTTGATCTGGGTACCAGCCCTGAAATTTTACCACACGTGTAAATTTTTTACACACGCGTGTAAAAAAATTACACGCGTGTATTTTTTTTTACACGCGTGTAAATTCCGAAAGTTTCCTTAACAAATTTGTTAACAAATGAAAAAACACGCGTGTAAAATTCTACAATTTTTTACACACGTGTAAATTTGATTTACACGCGTGGTAAAAAAAAGTGACGTGCTCGGAGACGGGAAAAACCCGAAAAATTACACGCGAGCGCCAAAAATTTACACGCCAACTTTGGAAGCCTCCAGCAAATCGGAAAAATATTTTTTTGGAAAAGGTAAAACGAGACAAGCTGCAGACGGGTACCAACAGTCGGCCAAAAAAAAGTTGGATCGCTAAGTGCCCTGGAAATTTTTTTTATATGCCATTTTGTGAAGGCCCTTTGAGCGATTTACACACGTTTTCCAAATGTAATTTTCTTACCTAAAAATTTACACGCGTGTAAAATTTCAAGTCAAAAATTTCTCGCCAAATCGCGTTGTTAGATCTTTTGCGCGTATCAAATGTAAAATTTATGACCGAAGCGGCAACGAGAACAATCAACAACAACAAGAAACAAATTATAAATAACGAAATTAAACAATATATATTATTTCGGATTTCAGTTACACGTGTGTTGAAGTGGGAAGGGTGTTTTGAGCTGCGTGAAGGCATTTCTAAGGTAAACTGAGTGGTCAAATGACATAAAACGTTCAAATTCTCGCGCTTTCGCCATTTTTCCGAATGTAATTTTCTTACCTAAAAATTTAAAGGTTTTTCCGTTGTAGGTAACATTCGTATTTTTACAATTCGTCAAAAACAGCGCCCACATATTTGGTCGAAACTAATTGGATCGGCTCAGTTTGCTTTTTATACCATACGGAACCCGAAAATGGCGAAATTGCGAGAATTTAGAAAGTTTTATGTCATTTGCCCACTCAGTTCACCTTAGAAATGCCTTCACGCAGCTCAAAACACCCTTCCCCACTTTTACTGCACTTTGCTAAAAAGCTATGAAACCCGTTACCGATAGCTTTAGGTTCCTTCCCTGGCGTAAAACTACTCGAAAAAAAAGATTGGAATTAACCCTTCATGGCCCATCCCTGGCCCACTATGGCTGCGAATTTTTGCACGCGTGTAAAAATTTTACACGCGTGTAAATTTTCGGCCAAGTTTCCTTGAAAACCCTTATAAAACTCAATTACACGCGTGTAAATCCCAAAAGTGACGTGTAAATTTGACGTGTAATTTTTTTACCACGCGTGTAAATTTTTGGCTGTTTTGACACGTGTAATTTTGATCTGGGTACCAGCCCTGGAAATTAAAGTCAAAACTAGTTTCAAAAATACTTATTTAGTTTTGGAAAATGTAGAGAAGCTAAAGTTCTATCAGAAAAATACTTAAATACCCTACAAATGTAAATCTAGGAGCTAGAAAATCAGGATTTCAAATTCTTTCACAACTATTTTCGTGGTTTTAAACTAATTTCTGTCGTTTTAAAGGCTCATTGAAGGCTACAAATCTAAAGCTATTGATTCTACAGTTTTCCACATTTTTTTGCACTTAGTTTTCATTTTTTCGGGATGGGAACTGACATTTTTCATCTTTTTCCAAGGGGGTGGTGTTCAAAATTTCAACGTAGCTTGCGAGAGAGAGAGAGAGGGAGAAGAAAGAGAGAGAAAAATTCTGAAGAAGATAATACCGTTTCCCTCCCTCCTCTCTACCATTTGAGACCAATTTCCGCTGGACCGTATTGCGGTTGCCAGTCAGCTGAAAAGAAGAGAGAGTAGCATGAGGGAGATAGAAGGAGAGGAGAACCTCCCGTCCATCATGGTGCCCTCATTTTTCGTGTATCTCCTGAAAACTTCCTAGTGTCGCTCCTTCTCCTTCACCCCCTCCTCCATTTTGCTATGCTCTGTATCTCTCTCTCTCTCTCTCTCTCTCTCTCTCTCTCACTCTCTCTCTCTCTCTCTCTCTCATGGGAGAAAAGGTCCAACTCAGCTAAACACACAAATACATGCTCCACCAGATTTTCTATTTTACTGCTCCTTTTTCATTTTTAAGAAGCTTTTGGAAATTTGCTATACGCTTTTAGATCTAACGGAAGAAATACCAGAGAAAAATCGGAAGAAAAAATAACAAAACCTCGGATTATGGTTTGCCTGTCTGATATGGCCGTTTCCATGATCGACCTCGAACCCTAAGCCTTAGCCTAAGCCTAAGCCTAAGCCCTAAGCTCGCTAAGCCTAAGCCTACAGCTCGCTAAGCCTGCGCTCCGCCTGAGCGTGTTCATTCCCAGCCTAAGCCTGGCCTAAGCCTGGCTAGCCTAAGCCTAAACTGGCCTCAAGCCCACAAGCCTAGGCTCAAGCTGACTAAGGCCCCCTGCCTAAGCCTAAG